TACGTAATGTACAGGCTTCTGTATCTTCACCCCACGCTGTTAATAAAACATGTGATTGGAATGTCTTCCATTTGCTTTGATTTTCTGCTTATATTTAGTTTTTATTCCGTCACCATAGGCAATCTAAACGACCCATATAATTTTTAAAACTTTAAAATGCATTTTATGTGCTTATTAAAGTTCCGCTTTAATTTACAAAGAGATTTTGCACATCTAGATATCGTTCTAACAGTATGGATAGATTTCTGCGATGCACACGAGCTGAGAAAATAGGGGTTCAAGAAACATGCTTGCCTATTAATATATAGGATGTGATTAATATTGGCGGGACGATACATATCGTGTAGAAATAATAGTACAGCTGCTCATTTGTACTGTAAAAGGTATGAGAAGAAAACATTTTTGGAGCTAATTTTTTGGGGGGGTGAACTACAACATCGACCTTTTCATTAATTGTTTTTCGGAATGGTGCTGCTTGACCAAAGATATAGTTGATCACACAGGGAAAAGTGTTATTCAAACCTCTCTCGTTTTCTAAACTTGAGAGCTAAAAATGTAGTCACTCCAGGACTCCAGGCACTTATGACGAAACGTTCTATTTCGATATACTGCAGTTATAAACACTGTTTACAGCTAATAATAGTAACAGGTGTTCATTTAACAATGTCAACACAAGCAGAAGCAGGAAATACCTTATTTTCATCACACGGGCCAGAAAAATCTTTTCGACCCTTGCTCATTTTCCATCCTCTGCCTCGTCTTGACCGTTAAACTTGTGTGTGTAAAAAAGAGTCATTTTATGCATTGTGATGAAATATATTATTAAATACCGGTAACACATATCTACGTCCGAATAGTAAACAAAATCTATATTCTTAAACAAGTAATTGATTTTTCTATGAATATTTTATTCATTTTCTCTCCATTTTGACCAACTGGTAAAATTGTGTATACTGTCCATCAAATAAATATCGAGGGATTACGATATTGTGCAGACATCACTTGTAACAGAATTAAACAAAGTAACAACAAACAATAACAAATAAACTTGTGTCTTTAAACAGGTAGGATTTTAGGGTGATTTTTGATAGTCTTCATTGTATTTTCACACTAAATGAAAAAAATTCAGGAAAAATAAAGATGGTAAATGGAATAAACAACCGTTATGAAATGGATGACTATGAATGAGTGTATGCATAAAATGTTTAAATTGTAGTTTTTCCTGTAGAGCTGCAATACAAATTATATAATTGTTTTTACATATATAATTAATACTGAACATTGCTATTCTATTCCCGTCGCACAATTGTATACCAGTACCATATAATTACGCAAGTGGAAAGGATGATGCGCTGAAGCCAACTAAGTAAGCCCTGGAGGGTTAGAAGATAATCCAAAATACCTGTAGTGGAGTAGACCGAGGGTACATTGACCTTTTAGGGTTAAAATCTTAAATAGAGGCAGGCGAATGACGTGCGTGATTCTGAACTCAGTGAATGGTTATTTCGAATTTGGTATCTTTGTACTTTGACCCTCTGGTGTTGAAATGTCATTGTTACTGGGTACATTTTCTGAAACACACCTGTTCTCAGGTGTTTATGTGATCTATCTATCTATATATTAATAGGCAAGCATGTTTCTTTAAAACCTTTTTTCTCAGATCGTGTGAATCGTAGGGAAAATCTACGCATACCGTTGGAAAGCTATTTTCCTGTAGGTGTGCAGAATCCCTTTATAAATTTAAATAGGCTCAAAGATAAGCACAAAAAATGAGTTTAAAAATTTGAAAAAATTAACATGGATCTTATGCGTTGCTATGCTGGTTACGAAATAACAACGAAATATAAACAGAAAATCAAAACAAATGGAGGAAACTCCAATCACATGTTTTATTTACAGTGTGGGGTGAAAATAGATAAGTGAGTACATTACATATTTTTGGTCGAGTTTCGACCACTGGACGACCACTAGTTCTAATTATTGAACGCAAGATTGCAAGTATGTAGATTTTGTTTGATATTTAAAAATTATGTTTGTTAGTATATTACCTTGAATATACGATTTTATAAAGTATCATAATGATTCAGCAAATTTTTGAACTGCGAAAACTGAACTTGCGATCTAAAAGACATTTTTTACAACATTGTGTTTGAAGATTATTCTCTCTGAACAACTGATTTCAAAGTAATTCCAAAATAAAAATAAAACTTTTGCAAAACTTATGACAGCTAGCCTGAACATCTACTGGACCGAATTACACGCGGTTGGTACCAAATGTAAGATATTTTCCTGTAGATGTGTAGAATCCCTTTATAAATTAAAATAGGCTGAAAAATAAGCACAACAAATTAATTTAGAATTTAAAAAATCAACCTGGACCTTTATGGGTTGCCGTGTCGGTGACGAAATAACAACAACATATAAGCAGAAAATCTAAACTAATGTAAGAAATTCCAATCACATGTTTTATTTACAGCGTGGGGTGAAAATAGAGAGGTTTGTACAATAATACATACTTTTGGTCGAGTTTTCGACCACGGTGCGAGCTCTCGTAAAACTCTATCATGGTTTATTTTTGTTTCCCAATGTACTTTACGTACGGATATGAACACAAGGTACAATCGAATGAAAGATTATTTCTCGTTTTGAAAATCACATAGTATTTATGTGTGTCTAAATTCGTTGTGTAATTAAAGAATAGAAAGATCGTGCAATATAAAAGGTAAAGAATGGTATGGATATACATTTGCTGATAGATCCATAAGGAAATCCTCGCAGCTCAACCCTATATAGTTCAATTTTGCATTTTCAAAATTGCACGATTGTTGGAATATTTGACGATACAATGGAACAAATCATCTTCCTCCTGTAGACCACACACTCGACGTCTACGTATTCTCCGATCACCTTGGTCATTTTATGGTCACGTAAGTCGGCCACTTTGCCCTATCACAAGTGAGTCTCACAGTCACACGTAGCTGACAGTTGTGATGTAAGTTTATCACTGGTGATAACCATAACGTATGCGGACGGTAATTGGCGTGATAGCGTAGCCGTAGCCTTCCTGTTGGTGATAACAGAGCTGTCATAGGCTGGGAACAAGGCCTGTCGATGCTTTCTAATGTGGATGTACAATGTGGATATGTACGTCAAAAGTTAGTATGGAAAGGTATAAATGTATCTAAACGACCTATCTATACGGTATTAGGATTTATAACGAACCTCAAGTGCCCGTCTAAGTAGGCTGATCGATGCATATGCGAACAAATATTTAGTAATGATAATCTTGCATGTTACATTACTCGATTATTGAAAAAATAGCCCCGCCGCAGCAAACCTGGAGACTAAGCGAATTTTCATTTACCTGTCTGGATTTATACAAAAATATTCCCTAAAAATTGTCAGATTTATTTCCTATTTAATTAACATTAATTTTAGTGATTAGATATTTTTCATGCAATACTATCCAAGTAATCTTTTATGGACCAAAGTTGTATTGACGACTAACTGAATAAACTTGATCCATTCTATACGTAGAGAATCTGTGGAAATTATAATACAGTACATGTTACTATTGAACGTTCAACATTTATACCATGATCTTATATTCGAATACAGTAGATCGTCAAAGTCATCTGTTTTCAAAGTAGATGGTGAACAATTTGATGAAATGCCATTTCAATTTGAACACACCTTATTCATTGAATACAATGCTTTTCAAAGATGCTAAATTTAACTTCTTCTGCTGAATATTCTCTCTGAACTTTTTTAGGTTCTCAATGAAACTAAGAGATAATGCATATTGTTTAGCTACGAGCATATGTAGAATTTCTTTCATCTGTACCATTGTTATCTCTGACGTCTAAAAATTGTTGGATCTTTCTTGAAGATATACTGTAATGTACTTAGGTAAAGTTACAGGCATAACCGAATTGCATTAAATTAAATGCGAATTGAATGTAGCTTTGTAAATTAATTCAAAGCTCGAGCCTTAATTCCTCGAGGCATGGGTACAAATCCTGGCATTTACGAAAATCAGTTATTTAGCTATGTGATCAAGCCGTAACGCAAATAACAGATTTTCGTAAATGACAGGGCAATGGTTCCCATGACTAAGGCACTGTTTCCTTTTAATATATAGGGGATGACATTCACAAAATAATAAAATGTATTCAATTGTTTTAAAGCATACGTTTTAGATTACATTTTATTTTTATACAAAACTGTGGTGTTAAATCTAACGATGCTTACAGTATCTTCATAAACAAACGTAAAACGCATTATTTTAACTCTAAACAAAAAAAATACCGCCGTTGCTCTAATCTAAACTAATGGTCCAATAGTTATTGCAACTTATGCGATTTTCCCATTAAAACCTATAAAATAAGACTGCTTGACCTAGTATGATTACGTGTATGTTATAGTCCTTTCTCTCTCTCTCCCTCGAACGTTTCAGAAGCTGTGGCAACTGTAGGGACCATATCACAACGATAAACCTAGTTGCTGAAACCCCAGTTGAAAACAAGGAATTGTCACACGAATATTTTTCAAAAAACGGCAACTATGAAAATAATATCGGAAATCGAAATATATTGAAAAGGGAGGGGGAATAAATTGCTTTCAAACAGTAAACCTGAACAAAAAATCAAGGATATGCAAAAAAGAGCAAACCATATCTGTAAAAACCTTTTCCAAAAACGACTTTGAAGATACTTAATGTAACAGAAGCTGTGAGAAACAAATTTCCCCATCAGTAAACCTATATGCTAAATTTAAACACAAAAAGAATTTTACAAAAACGTTCCCAAGAAAGTCCCAAGAAGTCCCAAGATACAGAATGTATCAGAAGCTGCTGGGGGAGAAGGGATAAGGATGAAAATACAAAAAGACGAGTGAGTAGCCGAGGACTGTACCCCCCTCCCTCCCCCACGAGCGCTCTCATTGGCTGATGCTAGGACGGGCGCGCGCACTGCCTCAGTCCATCTGAAGATTGCATCTCGCGACGACAGAGGTCTGTGTCTCTCCTGTCTGTAGTGTCGTGTAGTGTTGTGAACGTGTTGATAAACTGTAAAACTAAACTGTGTCGCTCTCCGACTATGGTAAGTGTTAACATTAGTGCATCCTATACAATAATATGTGTTAATTTGTGCGTTAGTTGATTGTTGTTGTAATGATTATTGTTGTGGAGGTGTTGATTTAGTTGTTACCGGTAAGGTGGGGAAACTATTATGTTTTTACAGGTATCTGTGGTTGATTGGTGTTTTGAAATATAATTGGGTTAAGTTTATTGAAATACTCTACGACTTTGGTACGAATCATCACTAGGTAATTTAATTTTATGCAACATCCTACAAAGATTAGGAAAAATGTTTTGGTTATTCTTGTTTATATTAGAGAATCTAAACTTAAATATTATTGTGTTCCTGTGTTTGTAATTTCCAATCATGAAAAACTTTTTATTTGAACTACACAGTAGATTTTCAAGAAATAGAAAATCTTAAGATACCACACGCTTAAGTACTATTTCACTAAATTTAATTACTTACTGGGATTTGATTTTGTGTTTTGCCTTCCGGATTAATTCAAAAATAATCATCAAGAGACAATGTTATCTTAACACATTTAGTAATTAGATCAACTTAGAACTTCAACATTTACACTAAAACATAACTCCTAATCACTGTCTATTGACAACGATTTAATTTGAGAATTCTCACTTGAAGACAAGTGCAATTAAACGCGTTTTGCCAACATTTTGTCACGGTTTCTTGGAACAGTGATCTGGCAGCTCCAGTTAATGCGTAATCAGACTCGAGAGGAATTGCGCAGTCGGCGGAAACGCGAAATAACGCGATTGACGGCAAAAATAGTTACAGGAAATCTGCAACGTATTTGACCTTTTAAAATAGTATTGTAGCAAAATAAATTCACAAATGGAAAATCTGACGGTTAAAAATCACGAAAATAATTAATTATTAGCGATTTGAGAACTAAAGAGTTTGCAGGTCACAACAAGATTGTATGATATCCCAACAATGCGAAGATACTTGGGCAGCCGCGGTAGATTGGAAAGCTGTTTTAAATCAATAATCCAGATAAGTTATCGCTCTATACTGTACCTGCTAACCGAAATAGCGGGTCTATAGTCTGTAGATCGTATCATGGATTAAACATTGCTGAGTAGAAGTGATCGCTTAAATAGAAGTTCGCCGGTTCAAACATGCGTAAAATTAGTTGGTTTTTGTATGGTTTGAGGCTGGGCCAGCTGTCCTTGATTGGGCTTTTAATGAAACAGCTGATCTTAGTCAAGCTAACATCTGATTCGTGCAAAAATCATTATTCAGCATCTTTGCATTACGCACTACTGGTATGTCGGTGTATTAATCTGTATGATTTACTATTGAAGATACAAATATTAAGTCTACATTCTCCCACTCAAACGAAGCCATACAAGAAATACGAATAAATCGGGTTAACATTACGAAAATCTCATTGTAGTATCAAAGGACAATTAAAACAGGTAACAAAAACTCACGAACTCAACTCAATAATTTGAATTAAGATTTGTTGTTTTTGTATAGATGCGTATTTATTGTACCTTAATTTCTCAAGTCAAACAGTTTTGCTTGTGGTATGTGATTTGTGTCAGGGATTTTCTATCTTTATAATTAGTTTTCATTTTAAATAATGTTAAATTGTTTATTACAACACAAATACACCACATACCACATGGTCATGTAATCCTCATTGGTAATTGGTGATGGAGACGTTGGAATAAATACATAAATGCACGTCATGAAAAAACCAACTGTTAGGTGGTCAACGTTAACTTTAAGCTGACATAATGTGTAGATTAGTGTCTACAGTTTCATTAAAACATCGTTTAACAAACACCGTGTGATATAGGAAATTAATTTTTCAATCGCAAAACAGAAGAAAGTTTGTTTTTAGCTACTCAGTAAACTTAGGAGACGATAGAGCCGCATTGAACGTCGCTATTGATTGTTGAGATGAGTGTTCATTTATCCAAACACCAGCTTCGTATCTTGTCCACGAACAGGGCTTCCCTATGACGCTGTAGTACATTACATGGAACAGGTTGAATTCGTAGTCAATCGAATGTTTCTGTGAACTACAGAAGCTTAAAATTGGTCAAGTAATCAATATTCATCTACCTGCTAACGCTGTATTCTATAAAAATGTATTTCATACTTATAAATTTATTTATTTAAAGAAATATTCAAATTTACAAAACTTATATAGCTAGATTACCATTACAAATGCTTAGCCAAGTCAAATTTACTAAAAATAACAATTAACAAACTTTTAACAATAAACAAACTCATACAAATTAGCTACAAAAGCCATTTATGACTCGTCTGCAGCTATTATTATAATTTTTGTCATTTCACACTGCTTTTTTATACAATCAGTCTGTTGTTATTCAATCAGTCTTAGTCAGATTTGAACAAGTATTGATAAACAATGGAAAAAGTATTAGTAATAAACGGATTTTAACAATTAATAACCTATTATAAAGTAACAACAATAAACGATTGGAGCAGTGAACAACAATGATGAAATAAAATGACACACAACTATTTTTAATTTAGGTCTAGAAATAAATTCTTTAATTTCTTTATATTTAAAACTCTACAGTAACATATATTCCTCAGCTGTAGGCTACCGGTAAACTAGTAAACAAAAATGGAACTAAATATTCCCTTAGAATACGTATTTGATGTTCTAGGTACAATAAAGAGCATTTGCCTTGAGTTGTAACCATAGATTAAAAGAATGGTTGTAACTAAATGTATTTCACATTCATAATGATTTCATTTGTCAAAAATGTTGAATTATTACCTACAACGCTACAACGTTTTAAAGTACCTAGACAAAATCACGTAATTTTTCAAAGTCCCTTGTAATATAATTTAGGTTACGGACCGTTTTAGTTCAGTTCTTATGCCCCCAGTACACTCTCGCCGAGACGCTTGCCGCAAGAATGTAATTGTTAACGGACCAACGAGGTTTGAGGATTGGGAGAGAAGAAGTAAAATTGTGTGCTTCGAACGTCAACTAATCAGCTGTTTAGACTTTGTTAATAAGTTGTGCATTAGTGTTTGGTACAATGATTCATTGCATCATTGTCAGTGGCAGTGAGAGGTTGTAAACGAAAACATAACCTCTCTTAAGTTATGAATAGTGATTGTTAGTAAAGTAGTGTACGAAACTCGCGTAAATAGTTTTAACGACACTCGTAGGAGTTTTTAAGGCACTCGCTGAGACTCATACCAACATTTATTCTCTGGAAATCAACTAAGTGAGTACATTACGTCATACTCTAGGATGAAGCATCTGTTTGATTTGTAAAGGTTTGACTTAAGGTTGTCGTGTCATTGTACTAATGGCTCACTAACGTCTTATGATAGCATCTAAACAGGGTTTGGTCCACTCTCCTCCTGATGATTACATTCTAAGCGCAAAGTTGACTCTACATTATTTGTCGAACCCCTATCAGTTTACTTATCACAATCGCTAGCGACGGGCTCATCTTAAATATTTAATCAACAGTCACTATATACAGTGTGAATTGATTGTATCCATTGTTTGTATTTCATGCTATTGCGTCAATCGGGGTTCCCTACACACATTAGGTTTAGACATCAACAAAGTATAATCCCACAGCAAATCCCTCATTTTCTGGTTTACATAAGTCCCTTTCGTGCTGTTAAGTTCGTAAGACAGTTATTTAAATCGCATCAATTTTTTGTTTAATACTGTGTACACTTTTATAGCTTAATCCAAAATATTTCATTATATTTTCCGGGAAATGTTTGACGTGACATATTTACATATTTATCAATAATTCGATCATGGACTCTTTGCATTTTATATTTTTACACGTACAAATATTTGTGTCGAGTTTGACGATAATTTAAATAGGTTTGACGAAAAATAGGTTTTGTGATCTTGTTAATCCCGAGATCCCGGTATTGGGACTCCTAATATACAGAATACAGGTCTTCTGGAATATACTGTAATTTACGACCGTGGGATGACATAATTCCAATGATGATGTCTCTACATAGAAGCTCTTAAATTGGAATTGGGGTATTCTGACTGTATAATTGCGTAAGAATTATATTCTTACATCATACCAACAGTGTATATTAAACCCCATTTTCTAATATCGTTTACGGAAACTATACTAGAGTTCTTTGCCGATACATTCGTGCGTTATGAATGAACCAACTTGTTTAACAACACGTGGTTTACAAAACAAGATACAGGGTGTACGAGAAATGCAGGAGATTACTATTTAAGCTGGTGAACTGGTTGTGACACTTCAACTTCCGGTGGATTTCACAACAACTTTTGCTACGATCAGCTGATTTCATTCATGTTTGCCACCTTAACAGTTGTTGGCTGATGCGATTGTACATGTACAACAGTTATAGGTTATAGAAGTGAATGTTCTTAGAACACGTTAATGTTTTTATTTTTGTTGAATCACAAAGCAAAGCATCTCAATCGCAATATTATTCGTATTTTGAGGTTTTCCACTGAGAACCATCGATGTATAATAACTCTACATTATACATCGATGTTGTTATTATACATCGATGCTGAGAACAAAGAGAGTAAATTAATGACTATTTCAGATGCTGTAACAAACGATCTGAGGACCATTTACTGCATATCTACTATTGATAGTCACAGCTGATCGGGAAATGGCTTACGTGATTATAAAGTTATGGTTCTAGCCATACATACTCATTATTGTGAATAAAATCTCCAATTGGAAAACCTGATCAAGAATCCGTTGAAGGAGGTACGTTTTATAAAAAAATATCACACTCCGAAATGTCTTGGGAAGTCCGCAACAATTCCTGCACAAAAGATTCAGCGTCTCGACTTTTTGCACCCCAAGTTTGGCACATTTTTCGCTCGGTTTTCCTGGTCGGCCCACCCTCTACCTGGGCTTGGCTCATATTGTCAGGGAAAGTCGTAACGGTCGGGCTGTAAACGCCCAAGGACATCCTTTGAAACTGAGGATGTGGAAAAAATTGGAAGCGATGCGCGGTTTTTGAATGAG